CTCATGCAGGTTGTCTCCCCATGCAGGTTTGCCATCCTTTGTGGGCAGTTGTCGGAGCAGGAGAGCATTCCCAAGCGCATCCAGGCTGGATATATTTTCAAGGTGAGTGGCCAGGAGGTGCTGGGCTTTGAGTATCAAACAACACTCATTTCTGCAGCAGGAATTTGGGAAAATCTGTTCCAGTACTTCTTAGGGAAGCAGTAGATTTCAGGGCTGCCACGAGTGGGTGGTTTGGAGTGAGGAGGCTGATTCCAGCCATGCCTTTTGGGAGTGACTGGGCTGAGTGCAGTTTTACACATTGTAATTGCAGAAAAGAAAAGAAATATTGCAAATTAATTTAGGTAAAGGATGAGACTTAGAGCTTGAAACATGGAATTATTCTGTAGTGACAACACGCAGCACCAGCTTGTCTGCAATATGTGCCTGTGAATGACCCACACCCTCCCAGGCAGCAGTTACTGCTCAAAGGGGATTTCATTTGCCTCAGACTCCCTTTTTTTCATTCCTAGTATTATTACTACTGTCATGATGCCTTGTGGATATTCCAGGGGGAAAGGATGTACATGGAACAGACCAGAGGTTCTTGTTTCCCCATCAACCTTTGGCATGATCAGTTATGGCAAAGCTCTGGAGCAGGAATGAAATGCAGGGCAGCTTCTTTGTGTGTGTGTGTTTGCAGAAATTCTATCCCTGAGGCTGGAGAAATGCTGCCTTTCCTTGCTTGCTGAATCCAGTCTAATTTTACTGTGTGTGACACTTAAATTGTGGATTCCTTCCTTTCCTCTTTCTCCACCTGCTCTGGTGGATATTTTATTTGCTTTTGACAAAGATGTGACATGTACTGGTGATGCTTTCCCACAGGAACACATTGATAAAGCCATTGCCCTGAAGCCACAGGACCCACAGCTCTACTATCTGCTGGGCAGGTGGTGTTACCAGGTAACAGAGTTTACCATCACCCCCTGGGCAGGCCTCTGAAGGGTTCAGAGCTCCAGCCTTGGGTTTTTAGTCACTGCTGGTGGCATGGGAGGGGAAATGGCAAGGGTGGGTTAGGAAAATCCCAATCTGCAAACTCCTTTTCTGCTCCCAGTGCTTTGCTTGGTAAAAACAAGCTTCCTTCCATCCCCTGAGCACACAGGGGTGTGGTCAAGGGCATGTGAGGAGCTTCTGCTCACAGTGTTGGTGTGTGATGTGTTGTGTGTGTCCCCCTGCCCCTGCCACACACAGAATTGGAGGCACTGGCAGCACGTGCCAGCTGCTTTATGCTTCCTGACAGGGAAAAGCTTGGAGTCAGATGCCAAGCTCTCAATCAGATTTAGAGCCTAAAAAAAGGGAATAAAAGTCTGCAGTGACTGTTGCTGTTCCATTTGTGCCATTGGAAAGCACTTTGTTGGGAATGGAGCCATGGTGCAGAGATTGTAGCTGGGATAATTGACAGTGAGCCCTGAGCTGAACTGCTGGGAGCTCCTGACTCTTTTCCTGTGTGGAAAAAGAACCTTCCTTCATGCTCAGCCTGGAGCTGCTAAAGCAGTGGAATAGTACCATGGGTGGAGAAGTATGGTAGTGCTTCATCTAGTCCGCATTGTTAGAATTATACAGGATTAAACAGGGTATTGGCAGAGGGAGGTGGTGGAGTCCCCATCCCTGGAGGAGTTCAGGGAATGCCTGGAGGTGGCACTCAGTGCTCTGGGCTGGGTGACAAGGTGGGGATTGTCACAGTTTGGCCTCCGTGGGCTGGGAGGTTTTTCCAACCTAAGTGTTCCCATGATTATCTGGTGGGAAGACTTCAGCCTGCCTCTCCCAAGGAATCACAGGGTAGGGGGGAGCAGGACCTTGTGGAAGGTTTAGGCTGGGAGAAGGGAGAGCACAGGTGGGGACTGGTGTGGCTGCAGCATGGCAGGTTGGGATTTGGAGCCATCCAAATCCCAGAGTATGGAACTGTAAAACCTGACCTGGGACAAGGGAAAGCAAATCTGGTTAAATTCTGTGGCCAGACTTGGATACTCCATGGGAATATTCCGACACTGCAGAGGGGTTTGGCTTCCTCCCTGCTGCAGGTGCAGCTCCCAGGGACTGGGCAGGCCCTTGTTGCTGTGCTGGTGTTGGATGGATGGGCCAGGTTGCCCTTTTGTCTGTGCAGGTTGCCCACCTGGGCTGGCTGGAGAAGAGGACGGTGTCGGCGCTGTTCGAGGCCCCCCCGACGGCCACGGTGCAGGACGCGCTGCAGAACTTCCTGCGGGTGAGGAAATGTGGGAATGTGCCAGGAAGGGGCATCACTGAGCTGCCCAGCTCACAGGGATGGCACTGGGCTGCTTGGATCCCTCCTGGTGCTTCCCCATGGCTGGGGACCTGGGTGGAAGGAAAGCTGGTGAGAGGGAAATTTGAGAAGTGTCCATTCCAGAATAGCCAGACAAAAGAATGGGATGTTGAAGATGTCAGAATTGCAGTTTAAAGTGTTGGGAATTGGTTTACGGGGAGTTGGTTTTCCTTTCTAAGGCTGCACAGAAAAGGAATTTCCTTTCTAATTCCTTGCTCAGTACTGGATACATCTGGGCTGTGCTTCCAGGGTGGCAGCTCCTTCCTTAGAATATTTTATCTAAAGCCTGGCTGACTTTTCCATTTCAAACTTTTCCAGACAACTGCTTGAAGGTTTCATGGATATAGTGCTTTATGTATTTATTAGGATTCTCCTTCCTGCCATCTATTTATTTTCCTTTAAAAGCTGCAGTGAGCCTGATGTAAGAATTAATTGTGTCCTTGCATATCCTAATGTCTGCTCTTCCCTGTCACACCCTCCCTCTGTTCCTGTAGGTCGAGGAGCTGAGCCCAGGGTTTTCCAAGACAGGAAGAGTTTACATTGCCAAGGTAACCACTCACTTCTTATTTGTTCAGAGGGTAAGAAATATTTGTGTTAAAAATCACCTTCAACTTTAACGACCAGGTGGAAAATACTCCAAGCAGGAGCAGAATTTTTTAGGATGATAATATTTCCTTTTGTCTTTTAAATCTTTTTAGACCAAATCACGTCGTGCAGAGGCTTTAAAATTCAGGGGTTTTGCCTTTGAGTCACTCAGTGGAGCATCCTTGGTTTTTAACAGATGAAATTCTATATAAAGCAGGAATGGTGACTTAACAGCTGTGTGCTGGAGGTTTAATCCTTCCCCACCATGACTTCTGTGGTGATAAAACCAGAGAATCATGGGGAGAAGTAAAGGATGAAGGATTTCTCTTTCCCTGTCCAGCATGGGAGTCTTGAGCCCTCTTGCTGAGGGGTTTTTAGCTTCCTTTCCTGGGTGTATTTCATGGTCTCCAAAATACCTCCAAGACTCTCTGGGCACCCAAAATCTTCCTGTTCCCAGAGGGATCAGTGTGCCTCAGCTGCTGGTCACATGGAGAATAATTAATACATTTTCAGCAGGCGGGGAACGATGTGCTTCCAGGAGAGAGGTTTTGTGGAGAAAATGGTGTGAGGAAGAGGGAAATAGCTACTGAAAATCAAAGTAGAGCTTTTAAAAGGGTGAAAACCACAGGGACACGTTAAAATGTCCAAGCAAAACCCAATCTCCTTCCCCAAAATGAAAGAGAGTCAAATATAATTTAGTATTCCAAGATCTGGTGGTGTTTCTGACGCCTTGTGGCTGAGGGATGCTGCAGGATATGCCAGTGCAGAGGGTGAAGAGGCAGAAACAGCTCTCCTTAGCAGGCGCCCAGTTCCATTTGCTGCCTGTTTTCTCCCATTTAACTCCTCTCCCGTGGCCTTTTCCCTCCCCAGTGCTACAGGGACCTCGGGAACACCTCGGCAGCGATGCTGTGGATGGACCTTGCCGCGGAGCTGCCAGGGTACACCAAAGAGGTAACACTCAGCAGGAGCAGAAATGGACTCTGCACCTCTGCTCCACTCTGTGAGAACCCAGCTGGATCTCTGCATCCACAGGGAGCAAATCCAGAGGAGGGACAAGTTGGTTGGAGGGATGGAGCACCTCTGCCATGAGGAAAGGCTGAGAGAATTGGGATTGTTCAGCCTGAAATAAAGAAGTTTGTGGTGCCCTAATTGTGGCCTTCCAGTGACAGGAAAGAGGGAGAGAGACAATTTACAAGGGACTGGAATGACAGGAAGAGGGGGAATAGGGGCTTCAAACTGAAAGAGATTATGCTTGGATCAGGTGTTAGGAGGAAATTCTTCCCTGGGAGAGTGCTGAGGCTCTGGCACAGGTTGCCCAGAGAAGCTGTGGCTGCCCCATCCCTGGAAGTGTCCAAGGCTTGGAGCAGCCTGGGCTAGTGGAAGGTGTCCCTGCCCAGGAACTGGATGGGCTTTAAGGTCCTTTTCAACCCAAACCATTCCAGGACTCCACGATATGCTCAAAAGCTGGTTTTGGGTTGGAGAAAAAGAAGGGAAATGGTGTTTTTTATTTGTTTTAATCAAGCTGTACATTTATGAATTTCCCTCTTGCATTTCCAGGATGCAGAAAGTGAGAGAGAACTTGAGGAGATGCGCTCAGTCTGAGAGAAATAGTTTTGGAGAAGTTCATCCCACTGCAGAGACAGTAAAATTCCAAATGGATTTCATGATCCTGACAATTACAAGTACACTTCATGGATAAGCCACAAGACTTACAGGAGAACACCCAGCAGCACATCCAGGAAAACATCTTGGAATTAATGGGATAAAATAGTGATTTCCTTTGCAGAGCACTGCATGTGTTTGATTTTAGGATCCCTAAAAATATTACATTCCTGAAAAAAAAGGGGAAATGTGGGGGTTTGTAGGTAGAGTTTGTGATATAAAAACATTTGTGGTTTATATATATATATGGCACATATACGTGAGATACTTTGTGATATAAATATGTATTATATATATTTTTATGTATGTGTGTATAAATATATATATACTTATTTATTATATATATGTATGCACATATATATTTTATATCACACTCTTTGCCTATCAGAAATCCTTGCTGGTGAGCTCCCAATTCATTCCTGAGGAAACCTTGAGCCAAATTTTTTTCCAGTTTATTTGTATTGTCTTTTCCATAGTAATTAATGGAATCAGTTGTAATAACTGTTTGATGGCTTTTGTGGATGTTTTGGGGAGATCAGTTTCCAGGTGGGACCAAGGAACTTCTCTGCACAATCCATACTGGATGTTAAGAGGTTGATTAGTCAAAGAAGTGAGGAATAGGATTTTAAATGTCAGGATTTTCTCCCAGTGATGTTTCTGTCTTTCTTCACACAAGGCTGAAAACTTCTGTCCTTCCAAACTGTGCTGCTGTGGTTTAGATGGAATCACTGAGTTTGGGAAGTAGTTCTTGATCAGAGAACAGGGGTGGAAATATCCTGTGGCAAAGATGCTGTTTCGCTGTGATGATCTTCTGCCACTGACCAGATTAATTATCTTCGAATTAATTATCTCCTGGACTAACGACCGAAGCCAACGACTGACATTCCTCTTGCAGCTCCTGGGGACCAAACAGGAACAGGGAACTGTGCTGGATGCTGACACAGATGGGGAAGGAAAACGTGCTGTGGAATTCCCCACATATCTGTCAAGGCTTTGTTGATATCCCTTAAAATTCCAAAGGCAGCTACTGAACACTAATTCCTGAATGTCTGTTTCATGCTGGGGTGGTTGTGAGGGGTAAAGTGAGGAGTGCGTGAGTAAAACATTACTTAAATCACTTTTTTTCCCCTTGCACTGTGGTGGGTTTGTTACTTCCTGAAAATAACACTGAAGCACAGCAGACTCCAGCATTAAAGCTTCCTGGATTGCAGGTGTGATGCTGCAGGGCTGGGCGACAGCCTCGGGGCAGGCACTGGCCAAAGCACGGATGGGGAGGTTTGGGAGGATTTGGAGCCACGAGAGGAGCTGGCTGGAGGGATGAGCCTGTGCCAGTGCAGGTGTGGCCTTTGGCTCCTGGTCAGGAATGTGGTGGCAGCCCCGGGGCAGGGGGAGCTGAGAATGGGGCAGTGCCTGAGGCTGCTGCAGGCAGGGCAGTGTTTACCCTGGGGGCTGGCCCCACAGCTGAGTTCCAGCAGGATCAGGGGCACAGAGGCTGCACTTTGTGCACCCAGGGAGTTTCTGTCCCCCCTGGAGATTTCCTGCCGGGATGTGGCAGCACAGGGAGCACAATGAAACCTGCAGCTGCCGTGGGCATTGCTGGTCTTTGTCCCTCTGTTGTGCCATCAGCCTGTGGAATTTGCTGCTGTCACTGCCCCTGCCACCCCAGCTGGGGGCTGTGTCCTCCTGGCAGCCCTTCCCAGCCCCAACACGAGCTCCAGTGGTGCCTCTGTGCCGTGTTGGGAGCGTTTGCTGGGAATGTGCCTCATCCCTGGGAGTATCCTTGTGCTCCAGAGCAGACAGACTCCAGAGCTTTTGGGCTTGTCAGCTTCAGAGGTTGATGAAACAGTCCCTGAAAGGAAGAATGACAATGAGGTTTGTCCAAGTGGTGCTTTCAGACCCCACCTGACAGTGTTGGCTTTGTGTTGGAGGTTGTTGTGCATTTGCACTGCAGGGAACGAATGTCCCCTTCCCAATTCAGCCCAGCAGATCCCAAAGGCTCTTACAGGAATATTTATCCTTTACTTCCCTCTCTGATAACTTAATCTGCCATTGAGCCATTCCTTGAGTTCTCCTGGAGAAAACCTCACAGCAGAGGAGTTTGCAGAGGAGCCCAGAGCTGTGTTTGGAGCAGAAAGAGCTGAGAGCTGCATCTGCCCGTGCTGCCCCAGCCTGGCAACATCCACATGGAACAGCCTGGGCAGATGGGATTAGATGGAGCAAAATCCCTCCATGGAAGAGGTTTTCTCCTGTGCAGATCAGGCATGGGGCAGGCAGTGAACTTTGGAAATCAGCTGATTTCCCCAGAAAGCATCACTCCCATCAGCAGGAATGACAGGCCCTGTGCCCACTGCTCAGGATTCACCCAGCCAAAATCAAGGGCAAGGTTGGTTTGGGTCTGAGAACTTGAAATAATTTCAAAAGAGAAGAAATCACCTTTTTCTTCTTCCTTTCAGATGCTGGAATTGCCTCTGGATGTGTGCTGAGCTCTCACTGCAGGGAACTGCCAGGCCTTAATGGTTGTGAGTTTGTGTTCTTCTCACTGGGGAATGAATAATTATTAGTTATTAGTTGCAGAAATGTTTTCTGAAACCTTCCCCCTTTGCTGGTAGATCTTCTCTTTCTGCCTTTGAATTTACAGCTGTTCCCTGCTGTCATTTGCCCTGCCTGAATTCCTTGCAGCTCCTAACTGGGAAAACCTGGGATAACTCAGAGGGGACAGAGGTGACATTTTTAGCTGAAAACCTGGGGCAGCTGGGAGGGGACACTGAACTGTTTGTGTAGGAAAATGTGAGGGGATATCGAGGGGAGCAAGGTGGCATTTCTGAGGGAAAAGCTGAGGTGATGTTTGGGGGAGAGAATGCCGATTTGTGGAGTAGAAAAGAGTGGAAAATTTTGGGGGTAAAACTCTATGTAATCTGTAAGGGACAGAATTAATATATTGGAGTAAAAATGAGGTACTTAGTAGTAAACAAGGAAAATTTTGGAGGCAAAACTTGACAAAATCTCAAGAGTAAATGAACACTTTGAGGGAAAAATGAGGTGATGAGTACTGAGCATGTAGGGCAAATTTGGGGGCTAAATCTGAGCTAATCTCTAGAGGAGAGTATGAACATACTGAGGTAACATGAGGGAATCAGTTATGGGCAGATGGGGAAGCTTTTGGTTAAAAATTAGAATAATCTGTAGAGTGAACATTTTGAAGTAAAAACTAGGTACACATTGAAAATTTTGGGGTAAAACTTGACAAAAACTATAAGGTAGAAAGTAATACTTAAAGGAAAAATGAGGGAATCAGTAGTGGACAGGTAGGGGAATTTTGGGGGGCAAAACCTGACATAATCTAAGGGTTCAGAAATAATATTTTTGGGTAAAAACAAGGCAATAAATTGTGGACAGGTAAGGAAGATTTTGCCGGTAAAATTTGAGATAATCTCAAGGGAGAGTGTGAACACTGACAAACTGAAACAATCACTGGGTGTAGGCAAGGAAATTTTGGGGGTGAAACTTGGGAAGATCTGTAGGGCAGAGAATGAACATATTGAGGTAGAAATTAGGTAATCAGTAACCCTGAGGTAATTATGTAGGAATAAGTGGTTTTGGGAAAAATGTGACATAATTCGTAGGGGACAGAATGAACATTTTGGGGATAAGAGGCATAACCTGTGTGGTTTTGGTTTTAAAATCTAGTTGGCAAAGAGGGGACAAAATGGACATTTTGGTAATAAAATCTGAGTTAATCTGTAGAGGAAAGAATGGATATTTTGTGGTAAAAAGGAGATAATCAGTATTGGACAGGTAGGTAAAACTGGGGGGTAAAATGTGAGATTATCTCTAGGAAAGAGCAGGAGCATCCTGAGGTAAACTGAGGGAATCACTGTGGGCAGGTGGGTAAATCTGGGGATAAAACTTGAGAGAATCTCCATGGTAGAAAATTAATATTTTGAGGTAAAAATGAGCTACTCAGTGGTGGAGAGGTAGAGAAAATTTCAGGGGTAAAATCTCAGGTGATCTGTAGCAGAGAGGATGCACTTCATGGTAATCAGTTATGGACAGGCAGGGAAATTACTGGGGGGAGAAACTGAAAGCATCCACAGGGTAAAGAATGGAAGTATTAAGGTGGAAATGGGGCAATACAGGTAGGGAACATGTTTAGGGTAAACCTTGTGGTAATCTCCAGAGTAAAGAAAGAATGCTTTCTTGTAAAAGAAATTTGGCTGCTGAAATTTCCCAGCCCAGGGCTTTGGCTGGCAGGGCAGCACAAAGATTGTTCCCTGTGTGGTGCCCAGATTTGGGGTTCAGTATCAGCTTTGCTGTTTAGAGGAATTGTACTGATAGCCCTGTATTCCCTGCTGAATTCCTACTGGAATAACCTCACATGGCCTCATGGAGTGGGGGTATTCCCATGCAGAGCTGCCTATCTGATCCCAGCTGTGTCAGGAAGCAGCAGAGGTTCCAAGGAAGCTCAGTGGACAAGGACAAGTTCCTATTTCATAGAATTGGTTATTTATAACCCTCATCCCCCAGCCAAATGTTTCCCCTCAAGGTTTTCCATCTGCCTACTACCAATAGCCTCATTTTTACCTCAAAATGTTCATTCTACCAATGTCCCTGGGGGCACCTGACAGAGTTCCTGGAATTCAGTGGATTCTACCCCCTTGCCCGGGCACCCCAGCGCCCATCCCCGGGCTGCGTTTGGCACGCTGCCTGCCACGGGCAGGACACTGAGGCACAGCTCCTGCCCTGCAGGTGCCAAGGACAAGAGGGGCTGCTTCCCCTCCTGGGGCTCGGCCTCCTCCCGCCCCGCGTTCCCGCCCCGCTGGGACACACCGGGAACACCGAGGAACGTTCCTGGCAGGGAGCAGGAGTCCCCGAGGGCTCCGTGCAGCTCTGGGCCTGAGAAGCAGCCCCGGCCTCAGCCCCACCGAGGTTTTGGGCTGTGAACACTCACCTGCAGGAAACGCCCCTCTGCAGGCGGGACCAGCCCCGGCACTCTCCAGAAGAACTTTGGCCATGGACCAAGGGAACCCTCAGGACTTGTCTTGCTCATTTCTCCCTGGAAAGGGACATGGCACAAGGACCTTTGCAGCCATCAAGGAAATGCTGGAAAGGACAGGAAATCAGGGTTATTGGAAGAGTTTTGTGCTGTCACACAACTGTTCACCTGTGTTACTCCACAGTCAGATGCTGGCCATGGAGCTCTGCCCTGTGGGCATTCCAGGGGCTGGTGTGTAAAGGAGCTTTAGCATAAAAGAAGGAGCTGCATTGCCATAGGAATTCCCTTGCTGGCACTTGGCATTCCCATCTCAGGCAGGACATTGCCATGACCGGACACTGGCTTGGTTGGAGCAGGGTGCTGAAAATGCCCAGGTTGTGGGTTCAGTGCCCAGATGAGCCTTTAACATAAGGGTTCAACTTGGTGCCCCTTGTGTGTTCCTTCCTACTCAGGACATCTGAAGACCTGGAAATAAAATTTAAACAACTTTCACTGGCTTTTTAAACGGAGTTGTTTTGCATTGCAGAGTGCGACCCACAGGGAAGGGGGGGGGAGGAAGGAGAGCATCAGGCCTCACCTGGCAGGTGTCAGATGAGCGGCCCGAGCAGAACCGAGCCCCGGCGGGCGTTCCGCAGGCGGGAGCGCGCACCGGGGGCCGCCGCCCGGCGGGAGCGCGCACCGGGGGCCGCCGCCCGGCGGGAGCGCGCACCGGGGGCCGCCGCACTCGCAGCGCCGCTCCGTGTCCGCCAGAGGGCGCCCCTCTCGGGCGGCGCTGAGGGAGCGGCGCCCCTGAGGGGTCCCGGGGCCGGCCCGGGCGGTCCCCGCGCCCCGCCCGCTTCCAGCCGCGATCCAGCGCCGGCTCCGGGAAAGCGCCGCCTCCTGCCGGGCCCGGCCCCGGCACAGCCCCGGCTCCCCGCGGCCGCGGCGGGACCTGCCCGGAGCCCCGGCGGGAGCGCAGCCCCGCACCGGCCGCGGTCCGAGCGGGAGCGGCAGCGCCGGGCTCGGTCCGCGCCCGTCCCGGAGCGGCTCCGCCTCCCCGCGGCGATTCCTGTCCCGATCCCTGCCCCAATCCCGCCCCGGTCTTGCGGCTCCAGGACCCGCAGCCCACTCGCCCCGGGACCCCCAGCAGACACCGGCAGGACCCGGACCCATATTCCCCGGCCCGGGTCCCGTTCCCGGCCCCACCTCAGCGCCGCGAGCTCCGCACAGCACCGGCAGCAGCCCCGGCCCAGGGCCCGCACAGCGCTCCGAGCGCCGGTCCCGCCGCATCCCGGGATGAGCGTCCCCCGTCCAAAGCGGAGCGGGCGCGGATCCGCCGGGATTTACGGGCGGGGCGGGGCGGGGCGGGGCGGGGCGGGGCGGGCTCAGGTGTGAAGGGCGGGCCCGGCTCAGGTGTGAAGGGCGGGCCCGGCTCAGGTGCGCGGGCCCCAGAGCGGCTGCGCGGGGCGGGGCTGAGGGGATTTAAGCCCCGGGAATCGCCTCAGGAGCCATTTGCCCCTCAGCGATCGGTGGGAGAGGTTGCCGCCGGGTCGGGCTCTTTATTTCTCTTCCTTTTTATTTCTTCTCTGCTTCTCTTTCTCTATACCTCTCCTCTATCCCCTCCCTTTCTCCCCCCCCCCCCCCCCCCCCCCCCCCCCCCCCCCCCCCCCCCCCCCCCCTCTCCCCCCTAGCCCTCCCCTCCTTCCCCCCCCGGCCCGGCGCGGTCCCCCCCTACTCCCCCTCTTCCTCTCCCCCTACACACCCCAACCCTGCCATACCCCTCCACCTTTCTCCTCGTCCTTCCACGTTTCTTCCCCCACCCGGCTCCCACCTGGCCCCTCTCCCTGCTCTCCTTCCCCCCACCAGTTTTTTCCTACCCGCCTTCAATCCTCTCTCTACTTCCTCTGCCCTTCCTTCCCCACCCCAGAGTCCAGCTCCCCCTGCCCCCTTTCCGTGCTGCGTTTTGCCCCACCTTCCCCTCAATCTGCCTTCATTCCTCCTACTCCATCCTCTACCCTTCCTTCTTTCCCAGCCCACCTCCCCCTGTCCCCTCTCGCTACTGCCCGGTACACCCCGACCCCCCCACCTGCCCTCCGTCCTTGGCTCCCGCTGTCCATCCCCTCTGCCCCCCTATTCCCGCCCTCCATCCTCTCCTTCTTTCCCCCGCAGCCGCGGGGCTCGGGGCGCCGCAGAATAAAGCCCAGAGGGCCGGAGCGGCGCCCCCCGCTGTCCCCGGAGCCCCACACGGGGCCGGGCCCGCTCGGCGGGTCCCCCCACACCGTTCCAATGCACCGCCCGACACCGCCGGGGCTCCGGCTTTCCCTACATCACACTGGGGGTCCCCGGGGGAGGGGGTTTGGGGGGTTGGGGGTCGGGGGGGGGGGCGGTGGGTTGGGGTGGGCAGGGCCCCCTCCGGAGGAGGGGGTCCCGGGGAGGGGGTCGGGGTGGGCCCCCTCCGGGGGGGGGGCCCGGGGAGGGGGGTGGGGCGGAGGGGGGACTTCCCCCCTCCAGTCCCGCCCCCTCCCCCGGACCCCTCCTCCGGACGGGGCTCACCCGGGCCCCCTCCCCGGGACCCCCTCCTCCGGACCGGGGGGCGGGTGGGGTGGGGGGCAGAAGGGGAGGGGCCGTTTGTTTGTGCGGGGATCTGTGTGTGTTCACGCTGCAGAGTGACGTGACCCCCTCTGCTTCCCCCCCACCCCTCCCACCCCCCTCCCTCCCCCCGGGCCCCGGTCCGGAGGAGGGGGTCCCGGGGAGGGGGCCCGGGTGAGCCCCGTCCGGAGGAGGGGTCCGGGGGAGGGGGCGGGGACTGGAGGGGGGAAGTCCCCCTCCGCCCCACCCCCCTCCCCCGGGCCCCCCCCCCGGAGGGGGCCCACCCCGACCCCCTCCCCGGGACCCCCTCCCCCGGAGGGGGCCCCGCCCCCCCAACCCTCCCCCACCCCAGGACCCCTCCCTCCCTAAACCTCCCCACCCCCAGGACCCCCTCCGGAGGAGGGGGCCCATCCCACCCGAACCCACACTGGGACCCCCTCGTCGGGAGGGGTTCCCCCCGGACCCCCAGCCCCGACGCCGCCGGGGAGCCCCCACTGCGATGGGGCAAAGCCGCAGCCCCGGCGGCGTCCGGCGGCTCTTGAGAACCGCCCCGGGGGACCCGCCGAGCGGGCCCGGCCCCGGTGGGGCTCCGGGGACAGCGGGGGGCGCCGGGCTCCGGCCCTCTGGGCTTTATTCTGCGGCGCCCCCAGCCCCGCGGCGGCGGGGGAAAGAGGAATGGGGGGACAGAGGAGGGGTCAGGGAGGGATTGGGAGGGTACGGAGAGGGGTTGGGGGGTTTGGGGGAGAAGGAGGAGGAAAGGGAAAGGCCGGGTGGGGAGAGGGATGATGGACAGAGGAGGGGTACAGGGGCAAGAGAGGGGAGGCGGGCTGGGGAGGGGGTAGGAGACAGCCGAAAGGACGAGGGGGGGTCCGGGAGGTGCAGGGGAACAGGGAGAGAGGGCAGGGGAGGCTGGGGAGAGGGGAGAGGGCGGAGGGGGGCTGGGAGGGAGAGGGGGAATGGGGGGAGAGAGAAAGAAGCTGGAGGGGTAGAAAAGAGGGGATAAGCGGGGGGAGAAGGAGGAGGATAAGAGTAGGAGAAAGAGGGAGAAGAAAGAGGACGAGACGAGGCTCTCCTGAGCCACGCCGGGAGAGCCCGGCCGAGCAGAAGCCGCTCTAGCCGCTGAGAGAGCAAATGGCGGCGGTGCCGCTTTCCGGGCCTTAAATCACCTCGGCCCCGCCCCGCGCAGCCGCACTGGGGCCCCGCGCACCTGAACCGGGACCGCCCCAGAGCCCCGGGACCGCCCCAGAGCCCCGGGACCGCCCCAGAGCCCCGGGATCGCCCCGGGACCGCCCCAGAGCCCCGGGACCGCCCCAGAGCCCCGGGACCGCCCCAGAGCCCCGGGACCGCCCCGGGACCGCCCCAGAGCCCCGGGACCGCCCCGGGACCGCCCCAGAGCCCCGGGACCGCCCCAGAGCCCCGGGCCCCGCGCACCTGAACCGGGACCGCCCCAGAGCCCCGGGACCGCCCCAGAGCCCCGGGACCGCCCCAGAGCCCCGGGACCGCCTCAGAGCCCCGGGACCGCCCCGGGACCGCCCCAGAGCCCCGGGACCGCCTCAGAGCCCCGGGACCGCCCCAGAGCCCCGGGACCGCCCCGGGACCGCCCCAGAGCCCCGGGACCGCCCCAGAGCCCCGGGACCGCCTCAGAGCCCCGGGACCGCCCCAGAGCCCCGGGACCGCCCCGGGACCGCCCCAGAGCCCCGGGACCGCCCCGGGACCGCCCCAGAGCCCCGGGACCGCCCCAGAGCCCCGGGACCGCCTCAGAGCCCCGGGACCGCCCCCGAGCTCCGGCCCCGCCCTGCCCGGGCTGGCGGCGGGACCATCGCTCCCGGCCCCGCCCCTCTCACCTGGGCCGGGCCTCTGCGCTTTCTGTCAGCCCAACAAAACGCCGCACTTCGGCTTTTCTTGCCGAGCCCAAACTCTCCGCACTTGCTCCTCTCCTCAAGCCCTGCAAACACAGCGTTTAGTCCCTGTTCCTGAGCCCCAGCTCTGGCCCTAGGAGCCTGCTCCAAAATGCTCACTTTAGTCTCTGCTTTTGAGCTCGGAGCCCGATTTAGCACCCCAAACGCAGCACTGGGTGTCTTTTTGTGAGCCCCAAAACCGCTCCAGTCCATTGAGTTCAGAGCCCCCACAAGTGCCCCGGGCCATGGGCAGACCGAGCTGGGCACCAGCAGCAGCTCCCTCACCCTTGTGGGATGGGCAAGAGACCAGAGACAAAAATCCAGCTCACAACACTTTAATAATGGAAACCAGTCAAATACAATCATTTAATATTAATGACAACACATAATGACAGTGAGAGCAACAAGAACACTGAGAACAACAACGAACAGGAGAAAGAGAAATAAACCCTACACCTCCCCCCCTTTAATATTGTAAATCCAAAATGTAATCCAGAGCACCACAAACTCCCTGTGCGGGGGATTTCCACATTCCTGTTATTTTCTCTGTGGTCCATCCTGGGGATTTGTGGACTAAGGAAGGCAGTCTGCTGCTCCTGTGCTATTCCCAAAACCAGAACACCTGGAATTAGTGCCCTGGGAGCCCAGTCTGGTCCTTCCAGTCACTGGGGGTCACCCAGAGGTTCTTTATGTGTATAAAGTGAAAATGACATCCTGGTCCAGTGCATTTCCAGCAGGACTGGACACTCCTGACCACAGAGACCAGTCCATGGAAGTTGGACTGGTGACAATCCAGGAGGATTTTAAGTTGGATTCCTGCAGATCTCATTGTGCAGAAGCTCCAGTTCTTTTTGGCACCTCTTGTTTAAATGTTTCCCTCCTGGGAGAGGTCAATTAGTCTTCCTAATGGCCAGATTGCCAGAGGCAGGGAAAACCAACCGGCATTCCCTGCACATCTCCACCATTTCCATGTCCTTCCAGGGGTCCAAGGACAGGAGCCAGCCCAGGACAGGCTCAGAGATGAGGCTTCCATCCCAAACCATTCCATGATGAGTCCACAATCTCTCCCTTCATTAATTTTCCATTGTTTCCTCTCAAATTTATATGATTTATTAAAGGAATCACTTTAAAATTATTCCAGTAATAAAACAGGGAGCATCAAACATACAAGAATCAGTCCCATGTCCACCAAATCATTATTAATTGGAAACCTATTCCCTCATCTCTGTCCTTGTTTTGCTTTCCTGGAAATCCTTAGGACCCCACAGTTTCTCAGAGACATCAGCTGGGATCACGGGAAGGTTTGCTCTGTCAGAAATCCAGGGGGATTTAGAACACTTGTTCCTCTGCATCTCTGTCCCTTACCCAGATCTCCTCTAGAATGGTGCTGTGGGATAAGTTTGGAATTACTAGAAACAGATCAGCTTCACATTTTTTCCCCTCTGCTTCTCACCTGTTTCAAAATTCCTGCCATTACCCCCACACATGCCCTAGAACACTGCTGTGCAAACACCCATCAGAGGATCATCCTGAAAAGGGAAAACCGCCTCCAGCAGCAGCTGGAATGATCCCATTTCTGTTCTTACCTGGTCTCCAGCTGCTCCCGCCAGAGCTCCCCACAGCCACTGCCATTCCTGAACAGGAGCTATGGAAGACACTCCTGCAGTCCATGAGGGTGAGGAGGCAGTTTGGGAAGTTCTTTGCTGTGCAATCAGAGCAGAGAGTGTCAATGATCCTGTGCTCCCTTCCAAGCCAAAGCAGCCCGTGATTCCATGGCATGAGCAGCACCTCTCCCGGCTCCATTCCAGAAACATCCTCCCACTAACCCAGGACTTTTCTTTTTCTGCATCACACCAGGGATGCGCTGCCGAGTGCGCCAGGCAGGGGACGCCTCAGCATTCCCGGGATGTCTCAGCATTCCCCGCGATACGCCAATATTCCCGGGATCTCTCAGCATTCCCGGGAGTTCTCAGCATTCCCAGCGATGCCCCAGCATTCCCAGGATCTCTCAGCATTCCCGGGATCTCTCAGCATTCCCGGGACGCCGCTCCACGCCGGCCCCGCGGCCCCGCGCCGTGCCGGGCTGCAGTGCTGGGCGCTCCCCACGGGGCGGCAGCACCGGGCGCTCCCGGCCCGGCCGCTCCCGCTGTCCCGGGCCGGTCCCGGCCGCTCCCGCTGTCCCGGGCCGGTCCCGCTGTCCCGGGCCGCTCCCGGCCGCTCCCGCTGTCCCGGGCCGGTCCCGCTGTCCCGGGCCGCTCCCGCTGTCCCGGGCCGCTCCCGCTGTCCCGGGTCGGTCCCGGCCGCTCCCGCTGTCCCGGGCCGGTCCCGGCTTTAACCCGCCCGGACCCGGCGGGGCCGCGGACACCGCGGGCACAGCCCCGCTGATGCCCTGGATTTCACCCGCCACGGCACAGGATCGCAGCAGTTCCCGAGCCGGAACGGACCCACGGGCAGCATCGAACCCAAATCCTGGCCCCGCACAGGACCCCAGGAATTCCCCCCTGTGCCCGGGAGCCTCGTCCAGACCCCGGCTCTTCCCCCAGGATCCTGAAAACACAGCGGGGCTGGGAGAAGGATGACGACGGGCTTTTAAGATACACATCTCGTTATACGGTCGTTCTATAGATCCGTTCTGTATCCTTATCGGTAATCCTACAATCAACATGTCCCTTATATCCCGCTACACATCCTTACACGTCGCCTTCACTGCGGTGACTCCAGTGACCGACGGAGCCCCGCCTGACCGCCCCTGCCATTCCCGCACAGCCCGGGTTTCCTTCCCGGCTCCAGCCCTGCATTCCCGCGGCAGTCTCAGGTGTCTCGTTCCATAAAGCAAATTAATCACAGCAACACAGAGCCAGCCCGAGCCGGTCCCTCCGGAGAGCACCGACCGCCTCATCCTTACCCCAAGCTGTGCATTCTCTCCCCTGCACATTAACTCAGATTGTGTCCCAAAATGTTCATTTTGGCCCCTCCGGAATCCGCCCCAGAGCGACGCCCCGGGCCCCGCTCGGCCGAGGCGGCTCCGGTGTCCCCTGTCCGCAGCTCCCGCTGCTGCCGCCTTCCCGCTCCGTGTCCCGGGAGGGGACAGAGATCCCTGTGTCCCGGGACAGCGATCCCTGTGCCGGGACAGCCATCCCTGTGCCGGGACACCGATCCCTGTGCCGGGACAGCCATCCCTGTGCCGGGACAGCGATCCCCGTGCCGGGACTGCCATCCCTGTACCGGGACACCCATCCCTGTGCCGGGACACCGATCCCTGTGCCGGGACACCCATCCCTGTACCGGGACACCCATCCCTGTGCCGGGACACCGATCCCTGTGCCGGGACAGCGATCCCTGTGCCGGGACACCGATCCCCGTGCTGAGGCAGCGACCGGCGAGGCCCCCGTTCCCCGCTCACCTCCGAGCCCGCCACCGCTGCTCCCCGGGCTCCGCCGCTGCCGCTCCCGGCTCCGCGCTTGCGCTCCGGCGTTTCTTTCCGGGAAACTTTATCCCGGCCTTGGCCCCGAATAGAGAAATATATTTGTATTTTTAAACCCTCTAGCTCCGTAATCAGAATTCCTTACAGTGTATATCCTGTCTATAACACAGCAGACACAAGGTTTTATTTCTGAATCGGTTTTTAAATGCATTAAAATTTCCCAGAATATAAAAAATGGGAATATTTGCAGTTCTCAGTATTTTACACACAAAGCCCTCTTGAATTTTCAGGCATTTTGCGGCTGTAACCTCCCTTTTTTGGAGGGATCTCACTTGGGCCCCCTCATCCCTCACTCACCTGGTCTCCACCACAATGGACTGTGCCAAGTGACACCATCACCCTCCAGACTCCCTTTTTCCTCCTTGCCTACAGAAGGCACAGGGAACATCCCCGAGGATGGTGCCTTGTCCTGAATTGTCCCACAGGACGCTGCAAAGTGCTTGAGGAGGGCAAACCCCACTCAGCAGCCACCAAATCTCCCGGGTGTTATCTGCACCATTACCATTCTGAATCCAAATCCAGCAAAGAAAAAGTTCCCTATCCCGGTTAAATCCAGCACAGCAGCCAGCACAACCTGTCCCTGCTCATCTAACAGCTGGACACCTCCAGAAGGATTCTGTGAAGGACAGAGACAAAACTCCTACTATAATCCCCAAAATGAACAGGCTTTCCCTTCCCATCACCTCTGAGCTGGGAGACCTTATGGCAGCAGGATAAGAAACCAGTTAGACAGGAATTTCTCTCCTATCCTGAGCTGCCTGTGCCTGACGCAGGCACTGTCCTTGAATTGTTTTCCCAGCAGATCCAGTATGATCTTCTCCAACATTTTTCTTGGCACTGTAGTTAGATCATCAGGGCTGGAGTTTCCTGGAAAAGTCCAAGTGGGATACAGCTGGAGAATGCCCAGCCAGCAATGGAGCCCCTCAGGCTTCCAGGACCTTGGGTGGAAGATTGAGGTGGTACCTTCTGGGACATACTGGGATGAATCCCAAACAACATCACAGCCTCGTGGATACTGAAGTGGTCTAAGTGGTCCCCAGTTGATCTCAAATGGAAAATCTCTGCCCTCCCTCCCCCACTGTACACACAGATAAGCCAGCAGTGCCTGGCAGACCCAGGGTGGCTGCGGGAAGGCAGGTGACAGGACAAGGACACTGGGAACAGCTAAAAGCAGAGAGGACGCCCAGAGAGCCGAATTCCACAGGACTCTGCCACCCTGAGTGGGTCATCTGGCTCCAGAAGGATGCTTGGTGTGGCTTTGGGCATCGGAGTCCTGCTGGCCCTGGTGGGCTGCACAGCCACCGAGCCCTGTGGTGAGTGTCAGCCACCCATGGAGAACCAGGAGAGAGCACGGATGGGACACAGGATCCCGCTGATCTCCCCTCTCCTTCCAGTGGCCCCGCAGGATGTGGTCTCCCAGCTGCTCCAGCGCTTGGAGGGATCTGTAAATCAAGATGAGGCAGCAAATCCCAGTATCCTGATGGCCATGAACCTGGCTGGAGGGGACAGTGACGGTCCCACCCACAAGTGGCTGCTCCAGGAGATCAAGGAGGAGGCAGTGAGGAGAGCCCAGAAAGGTAGGGAGGGAAAGGAGGGAAGGCACCAGCTCCTGGGGGACCAGGTTTCTGCCAGTTCTTGGGGTGCCCAGCCCAGCACAGCCTGGCTGCCCCCTTGTCCCCACAGACATGACCTCGGGACAGGTGGCTCTGCACGTCCTCGCCCTCCTCTCCTCCTGTCAGGATCCCCAGCGTGTCCATGCCCTGGAGCAGACCCTCGACCTGATCCATGTCCTGCAGCAGAAAACAGATGAGGAGATGGCCAAACTGGGTTTGTTGGGACTTGAGGGCCTGGGGGTGTCACTGTCCCCACACCTTGTCATCTTGCAACTCTTTGCTTTCAGAGGCCGAGGGGATTCCCAAAACTACCCTGTACAATGTGGGCGTGGACACCCTGGCCCTGTGCCTGGCTGAGGCAGGTGGTGCTCAGGGACCATCGGTGGCCCTGGCCAAGCAGGTGCTGAGCCCCGAGAGCCACATCTCAGTGGGTGAGGAACTCATCTGCTCCCACAGTCCCACTCCTGGGGTCTATCCTGAGCCTTGGCAGTGACTCCAGGATCCCACAGACACCCAGGCCATGGTGGCACTGGCGCTGGCCTGCGTCTACAACTACGTGGAGCTCCAGGATGTGCAGGATCTGCTCCGGGAGGCACTTCGGACAGTGAGCAACAGCTTTCTGGATGAGCAGGAGAAGAGGAATGGCATGATCGGGAATATCTACAGCATGGGGCTGGCCCTGCAGGTAGGGGAGGTGCCAGGGAAGTGTGGCATCACGGCCACCTGGTCCCATTCCCAGATGTGTCATTCCATGTCCCACCTGCTCCACAGGCACTGGAGGCCACAAGGAAGTTTTACGCCCCACGGAAGTGGGACTGTGCCCAGGCCTTTTCTGTGGTGTGCACCCACGACTACCAGCAGCCCATGGCCATCGCCCAGGTGCTGCCATCCCTGGTGGGCAGGTCCTACCTGGATGTGGCTGGCCTGGACTGTGCTGCCACCAAGAATATGTCCTCAGGCCAACAGTTGCCCCTGTCCCCCACGCTGGGGACACACAGCATTCCCAGAGGTATGCTGATCCCACCTGGAGTTACCCAGACCCCACAGGGATGATTTCCCATCCTGTGCCTGCTGAGGGTGTGCCAGGTGCCCACCCTGCCGCTCTCTCCCTGCACAGACCTCATCCAGGTGCATTACTCCATCACCAACACGCTCCAGGGAAAACACTTCCACTACTCCACCTCAGTGACAGTTCCAAGTGGCTCCACTCTGCTCCAGGTGATGGAGATGGCAGCAAAGGAGAACCCCCAAACCTTTAGGTGAGAGCCAGGGTGGCTGTGGAGGTGGGATTTGGCATTTTCCTCAGCCAGGACAGAGCCTCCTCATCTCTCCCGCAGCTTCCAGATGGAGCAGGCATCCTGGGGTCTCTTTGTGACCTCCATCCACGGGTTGGCTGGCAGCATGGAGGACAGGACCTACTGGCAGTTCCTCAGTGCTGGGGATGCCCTCGATGAAGGTGAGGGAGGGGGCCAGGGATGGTGCAGGGGAGTCTCCATGTCCCAGCCTCACACATCCCTCTGCTGCAGGGGTTGGCACCTACAAACCACACGATGGGGAGCACATCGAGGCCATCTTCAGCATCTACTGACTCCACCAAGACACCCTGCACCCCTCCATGGAGCAATAAAGTGCCATTCCAGCATGTCCCTCTGTGTGTGTGTGTGTGTGTGTCTGTGTCTCAGGAAGAAAACACAGCTCACATCCCTTTTGTCTTCCTCCTGCTTAATTCCATGAGTTCAGCTCCTCTCCTCTTCCCCAGCACCACACACAAGCATAGCCTTACCAAAACTTCATGGAGTTAATTCCCTCTTGGACATCAACAAAGCCTTTCCCCAGCAGCCACAGGCTTGTTCCTCCAGCCACATTGCTGGGCTTCAGTTCAACCTAGTCTGATCCCCACACAAACTCTCATGGCATTAATCAGATGCACTTATCTCTATTTGAATATTACAATCCCAATTAGCATCAGCCTCAGGCCACCAGTTGCATTTCCTCCTGGAAATCTGCAGGTGGTGGCCTGGGGTTGCAGCTGATTCTAGTCCCAATTCTGTGACTCCATCTCTGGCCAGGAGTCACCAGCACCTCCCAGCTGGGTCCCAACTGCTCTCCCAGCCAGCCCCATTCCCCAAACCCACTGGGCCTTGTCCAGTCAGACCTTCAGCCTGGATCTGCTCCCAGCTGGACCCTTCCCACCCAAACCATTGTACGATTCCACAGACACTGTCTCCAGAAGGAGCTAGGAGGGACAGGATCCAAACTCTTCCCAACAGCCCAAACACCAACATCCACCACCTTCCATCATCTCCAGTACATGTGGTCTTATCCTAGACATCAAGCCAGTCACACAGGAGCATCCTGTCTGACTCAACCCATGGTGACGGTGCCACCCTCCAGTTCCTTCCATGATCACACAGATATGCACCATGCAGCAGTGCCACAGCAAAGGAAAGTGTAGGGTATCAGCTGCTCTACTGGAGATGACATTCCTGCCCTGTGCTGCATGGGATGTCCTGGGTACCCAGTCTGCCCCTCTTCCCCCTGCTAAATCCCCTCCATCACCATCATGCTCCATGGAAAACACTTACGCTGCTCTGCCTCAGTGGTTTGGTTGTTTGCTTTTAGTAGGATTCACAGGGTTCATTTTCCTCACAGTGGCTGGCACAGCCCTGGGTTTGGATTCAGGATGGGAATGCTGTGAATAACACAGAGGTGGTTTGGTGGTTACTGAGAAGCTTTTCCTCCTCCAGCACTTTGCAGTGTTGCATGGGACAATCCATATCCCCAGCTCTGTCAGCCAGGTGAGACCATCATCCTTCTCCTCATCACTGTGTCCTACTTGCCTGAGAATCCTTCCATGTGCTCTGCTCCAGAGGGCCACCAGTGCCCACATGGAGTCCCTTGCCCCTGGCAGCATTGGGGTGCCCTGAGGCCATGAGCTCTGGGGGGAGGTGGGGCTGTGATGTCACACAGGTGTTGCACCCGCAGCTCTGTGACATCAGCACGGTGTCTCCACAGGACACTGACACCACCCTCTGGCTCTCAGCATGGCCACGATGGGACACGGATGAAGCCATGAGTTTCCTGCTCCCCCCACTTGTCCTGCTGGTGGCCAGTACGGCCGTCCTGCTGGCCACCCGTGTTTGGAAGGCGCGGAAATGCCTCAGGACGCGGCGCTGCCGAGCGGCTCCGGGGGCTCCCGGTTCCCCCCCGGCTGAGGAGACCCCTGGCCACGGCCCGGCTGCCCCGGAGAGGCCCCTGTACATCCCCTGCGGCTGCGGGCCCTGCTGCACCCCCTGTGCGGCGGTGGCCCGGGAGCTGCAGGACATGGTGACGCCGCTGTGGCCCGAGGTGTCCTTCCCGCGGGACTCGGAGATGTGGCAGCTGTTGTGGGAGGACCTGGAGCAGCTGCTGGAGCAAGGCCAGCTGCCCTGCTGTGCCTCCTCCAGCTCCTCCAGGAGCCCCCAGCCCTCCAGGTGCCAGCGCCCAACAAGACCCCTGATCCGTTGGAAAACATCTGCCGCTGGAAAAGGCTCAGTCCTCCGCAGAGCCCAGCGCTGGTTGAGATCCTCCACCCTTCCAAGAATGTCCATCCCTCGGAAAGGCTCCTTCATTCCCAGCCAGACCCTCTGTGACCTGTGTGGTGTTCCAACTGGAACCTGGCCTGTTCCTGCCAAGAAGCAAGTGGAAGTGTCCTGGAGCCGCCGGTGCCCAACCCACAGCTCCCAGGATCCTGCGGCAGAGCCATCTGGGCAGACTCTCCGCACACTGCTGGACAAGAGGCTCCGGCAGCAAAGACAGCAGCTCCCATGTCAGGGATGCTCCCTGGAGCTGCCTGTGAAGGACGAGGCTAAGGAAGATCTCCACACCTGGGATATTTATAGCAAAGGTCTCCATCCCTGCCAGAGCCTCCATGAGATCTGCTGGACCCCAGATGGAGGAGCCCACATGGACAGGTCTCCCTGCTGCCTCGGAGCCATGGCTATCCACAGAACTCACCAGATACCCACGACCAGGAAAAGCCTGGAAATACAACTGGGAGCCCAAGCCATTCCAGCAAAGCATTCCCAGCAGCAAGTGTCCCTGAGCCGCTGGTGCCCAATGCACGGCTGCCAGGACACTGCAGCAGTGCCACGGGAGAAAACCCTCCGGGCAGCGCTGGACAAGAGGCTCCAGCGGAAACGGGAGCACAAGGAAACTCTCAGGAGATGGCTGGCATGGCTCAGGATGCAGCTTGTGGCAGCAGCTGGCACACTCCGTAGTCTTCTTTGTGCTGGATAAATTTGGGGTTTCCCCAAAAGCTATTTGAGAGTTCCCACTGTTCTGCTCTCCAATGGGACAGGGTTCCTTTCTTCCCAGAGCTGGCGCATATTGTGTTTGGATTCAGGATGGGAATGCTGTGGGTAACACATGGGTAATGGTCCAGCCAGACGGAAAACTGGGATGAAGAAGTTGAAAATTCATTTAATTAGAATTAAGAGGTGGAAAAGGGGAAAAGGCGGAAAAGTATCCCACTCTTCCCATGGGGAGACTGCCCACACCTGAGAGCCTGAAATCCCCTGTGCCCTCTCTGATTGACTCTGCTGGGTTCCTAGCTTCCCACAGCACTTGCTCCCAGGATAAAGAGTGGAACTGGAATTCACTAACAATAATATCAATGTCAGAAGCAGTGGGAATCTTTGTTTGGAATGAGAAATGGAGGAAAGATGGAGTGAAATACCACGAAGCACCAGCAAGGGAGAGGGAGGTGGAAAAGCAGCTTTTGGAATTGGTAAATTTCTCAGACTTATTTCCAGATATTATTATTTTAAAATAATTTTTTATCTCTCCACCACAAAACCATTTCTGTACCTATGAAGATATTTGGAGATAAAAGTTTAAAAACTTCTGGATAAAAACCCATTATGGATTGAAACTTGTAAGGGAATCCACAGCAAGGAAACATAAATCCCAATTTTAGCAAGATTAATGCATAATAAATATTAAATATTCATTTCCACACAAAACAAGCCAGTTTCTTATTTTCCAAACTGGAAAGGGCAGACTCATGGATTTTTGAAGCCTAAGAAGCATCCAGAGAGCTCCAAATTGAAATTCTTTGTGTTCCAGACTGCATTTGGTTTGTCAGCTGTTATGGAACTCCCTCTAAAACTGGAATTTTCATTTAAAAACACAGTTTAAGCCACTTCTCTAGAGAAAGAGAAACAGTGTCTTTGTGTTTAAATTTTATTCTGAAAACAAAATCCATCCCATGGCTCTGACAAGCAAAAAACTATAGAAAAAACACAATAAAATAAGAAATAAAAGGTATTGATCCCCACCCTGGGACCTGTAAGTGTGTACAACATGGAAAAATGCCTCTGGAATTCAGGGACTGAAGAGGCTGCAGTTCTAGGCTTACGGATATTTTTATTTTTAAGCATTTCTAAGCAAGTTTTAGTCTGGGAGAGCTGAAAACTGGGCTCAGCTTTCCTTGGATTACACACTAAAACCGGGCTAGGACATTGCTGGAATTGAGACCACAACTGGGTTTTGAAGAAGGGGAGTGACCACGAAAAGGGAAGGAAAAACCTTAATGAACTCTCGTTAAAGGGAGAATTTTACCTCATTACTTGAAGCCTCCTTCCCAGTTCTAGCTTGCCTTCCACTAATATCTTCCCAGTTTCTGCTTGCATCTACCTTTTCTGGGAGGGATGGGATCAGGCTGAAATCTAATTCGTCCTGAGTCTGCTCTGGAGGTGTTCAGCTTTGGAATCCTGAAATCTGGGCGTGTTTGTGCCCAGAAGCTATTCCACTCTGCCGGCCTAATCCGTTCCTTCCCAGCACTAACACGCAGCACTGACACGCAACTGTCGTTAGTCTAAAATTCGTCATTAAGCCCCCCAAGAACCCAATCCCAGAGGTCTGTGGGCACCCAATCCGGTTATTTTGCCTTTTTAGTCTTTGTGGCGGTGGTGCCGTTGGGCTTGGAGTTGGTCTTGGCTTTCTTCTTGGCCCCTCCCTTGGGCTCCGGCTCCTTGCGCTTGGCCGAGGTGATGGATCCGGTGACCTTGAAGAAGTCGTCGAGCCGGCCCTGGGTGCTTCCCTGGCGGCTTTTGCTCAGCCTCCTGACGCCGTTGCGGATGCGCTCCTCATTGAACTGCTTCTCCCCACACATAAACTGCACCAGCTGCTCCTCGTCCGGCTCGCTCCACTTCAGCTCCACGGCATCGGGATCGATCACGTCGGGCTCCAGGAAGAGCTTCTGGGCCTCCCTGTGCAGCCAGTTCTCGGGCAGGGGGTACTTCTTGGTGTCGAGCTGCTGCACGATCCTCTCGATGGATTTGTGCTCCCGGATGAGCTCCACAGCGCGCTTCGGCCCGATGCCGCGGATGCTGGCGCAGTAGTCGCAGCCCAGCAGGATGCACAGGTCCACAAACTGCTCCCAGGTCAGCTGCAGATCCTGCAGAATCCGGTTCAGGTGGAACTCCTGGATGGGCAGCTTCTTGGTCTCACTGGCTGTGAGGTGCCGCATCAGCACAGGGCTGCCGAAGGTGAGGCAATCCATGTCCTCCGTGGCGGCGGCGTACACCTTCCCAGCCTTCACCAAGGCGGCACAGCTGGCCTCTGCCTCTCCAGGTGCCTCCACGTAGGGAATTCCCATCAGCGTCAGCAGCTTCTTGCACTCCTGCGTGTGCTGCGGGGTCACCTTGACCAGCCTCTTGCTGTACTTCTCGATGTTCTCCTCCTCCCCAGCCTCCTGTGCTTCCTGCAGGTGTTTCTCCGCCTCGGCCCGGCGCTCCGTGCGCTTGGCCAGCTCCCCGGATTTCAGCTGCGGGGGCTTCCCGTCGAACACGTACACCGGCTTGATGCCATTCTCCACCATGCGGATGGTGCGGTAGAACATTCCCATCAGGTGGCTGGTGGTCTCCCCATCCTCGTTCTGCAGCACATCGGCTCCCTGCCGCACGGCAATCAGGAACTGGTAGATGCTCATGGAGGCGTCGATGGCCACTTTCCGGCCAAAGTAGGCCTTGATGTCGTTCTCCCGGATGGCCCCGGGAGCCACGTCGGCGATAAGCTTGGCCAAGCCATGGATTCCCATCCTGGGGAAGGGAAAAAGGGGATGTTGAGCGTGGGCTCTGCATGAGGAATGTTGGGCCAGCCAAGGAGGGGGAAGCAAGGGGGGCAGTGCTTCCCCTGCAAACCATCACTCCAAGGGCTGCATTACCGCGAGTCCTGCCTCAGGCCACCCTTACCCCTCACCACTCCCCTCTCGGCCCATCACTACTCCCCTTCCAACCTCTGCCCCTCCCCAACATTCGATTATATCCATCATATATATATACACCATCTAGACAGCATCACCTCCCTATTCTTATCTCCTTATTTCCCAGCTCCCCAGGCGTGCCATCAATCCCTCCTCCCTCCCCCTCAGCGCTCCCGTTCCCCCTCAGCGCTTCCGCTCCCCCTCAGCGCTCCCGTTGCCCCCCCGCTCCCTGCTCCCCCTCAGCGCTCCCGCTCCGCCTCAGCGCTGCCGTTCCCCCTCAGCGCTCCCGTTCCCCCCCGTTTCCCCTCAGCGCTCCCGTTCCCCCCCGTTTCCCCTCAGCGCTCCCGTTCCCCCCCGCTCCCCGCTCCGCCTCAGCGCTCCCGTTCCCCCCCCGCTCCCCGCTCCCCCTCAGCGCTCCCGTTCCCCCTCAGCGCTCCCGTTCCCTCCCGTTCCCCCTCAGCGCTCCCGTTCCCTCCCGTTCCCCCTCAGCGCTCCCGTTCCCCCCACGCTCCCCGCTCCCCCTCAGCGCTCCCGTTCCCCCCCGTTCCCCCTCAGCGCTCCCGTTCCCCCCCCGCTCCCCGCTCCCCCTCAGCGCTCCCGTTCCCCCTCAGCCCTCCCGTTCCCCCCCGCTCCCCCTCAGCGCTCCCGTTCCTCCCCGCTCCCCGTTCCCCCTCAGCCATTACCCGCCCGCTCGCGCGCCGCCGCTCCCGCGCTCGCGCGCCGAGCCCGCCGGGAGCCGCCGCCGGCCAATGGGGAAGCGGCTCGCGCTCGCCGCGCCTCGTTCCCGCCCTCACTTCCACTTCCGGCGGCGGAGGGGGGCGGGCGTGCGGCGGCCGGAGCGGAGCCGACGTGTCGCAGCAGGGACCGGCGACATGGTGAGGGTGGGGATGGGGCGGCCGGGGGTTGCCACAGGGGGCCCGGCCCGTTGGCAACGGCCGGCGCCGCTGAGCTCCGCCGTGTCCCCGCAGGAGCTGGAGGCGATGAGCAGATACACGAGCCCGGTGAACCCGGCCGTGTTCCCGCACCTCACCGTGGTGCTGCTGGTCATCGGCATGTTCTTCACTGCCTGGTTCTTCGTGTATCCCCGCGGCTGAGCTGACGGGGGGTGCCGTCCCCTTGCTGTGCCTCTTAATCCCGGATTATCGCCCTAATTCCCGGGGGCAGGGGGCGGGTGGGGGTCCCCTCGCCTTGCTGTGCCTCTGTTACCACCTTAACCCCCGGCCCGGCAGCTACGAGGTGACATCCACCAAGTACACCCGGGACATCTACAAGGAGCTGCTGATCTCGCTGGTGGCCTCACTCTTCATGGGCTTCGGCGTCCTGTTCCTGCTGCTCTGGGTCGGGATCTACGTCTGAGCCCCCCTGGGAGCTGGGTGGGGGATTCGGGAAAGCTCTTTTTATATTTCTTTTGTATTTCAAGGAGAAAATGCCTGGTGCAGGTGTGGTCTGCGACAGGCAGTGACCCACAGGTGAATAAAAGTGGCTCTGTGATACACCTGCCTGGTGACTGCTGGTTTGTCTTATTTTTTTTTGGATAGAATGATGGGAAGTCTAAGGCTGGAAAAGCCATCTAGGACTGCCCAGTCCAACCACTCCTGCACTGCCAAGGCCATCACTACCCCATGTCCCCAAGTGCCACAGCCACACTGCTTTTAAATGCCTCCAGGGATGGGGACTCAACCTCTGGAGCATGTTCCAATGCTCTAAAACCCTTTCCATGAAGGAATTTTTCCTAATGCCTAACCTAAACCTCCCCTGATGCAGCTTGAGGCTGTTTCCTCTGGTCCTGTCACTCCCTGGGAGAAGAGACCAATCCTACCTGGCTGCACACTCCTGTCATGGAATTGAGCAGAGTGAAAAGGTCCCTCCTGTGCTTCCCTTTCTCCATAATGGCACAAGATCCAGATAATTTGGGATATGCCCAGTGTTATCCCAGCTTTCTGTGCTGTGTGTGGTCACAGGCGTTCGAGTGCCACCTTCTGTCCTGGTGCAGCCCGGCTGTGCAAACTAAATCCTAAATCTGCTTTTAATCCCTCATCTTTCTTTGCCATCACATCCCCTCACCCTTTTTTTTGGGAATGCTGTGCCTATTCTCATCCCTATCCAGGAGTTTTGTGGTGCTGGATGGGCCCTTCATTAACTCCTGAATTTCTGCCTGGCCTAGAAACAAGGAATTGATTTATATGTCTTTAAGAGGCAGATTTGAATTTTAGCCCAGCTTTCAAATCATTCCACTTCCAAAACACAAATGCAAGCTCCAATTTCCTATTTGGGAAGGAAGATTTCGTTCTGTGGACTTTTGAATCCTTCTGGATCTGAGTTTGCCCTTTGATGTGAGCAATGAGAGGTCAGAGGCAGGTTTTCCTTTCTTTTTCCTTTATTCTTTTCCCCTCCTTTTTTCTTCTTCCTCCTTTCTTTGTCCTTCTGCTTTCTTTTTCCTTTTTCCCTTGTCCATTTAACCTTTCTTTTCCCTCTTAATTTTCTTCATTTTTCTCCTACTTCCTTCATTTTCCCTTCCTAATTTCTTTCCCCTTCTTCTGTTCTTTTTCCTCCTTCTTTTCTCCTTTTTATCTCCATTCCAAAGTACCATGAGTGGGCATATCCAAAAACTTCCACTGATTAAAGACTTGGAATTTCCTCTATCCCGTGGGCAGCTTTACAGCCATTCACCTGAGTTATTCCCTAGAAAGGGAGGAAAACACCAGGAGCCATCCTTGGATACAAAGCAGTATTTATATATTTTATTCATACGGGCACATTTACCTCCAGCATAAAACAAAGTCTAAATAAGCAAAACAAAACAAATAAACAAACAAACAAAAAAAACAAATTCCGGGGAATCCGGAAACGCAGCCCTCAAATTCAGCAAAATATAAATATAAATCAGGAAGAAAAGAGGGAAACCACGCTTGTTCCCCACAAATAAAAACCAGGAATCAATAATAACCTGCTACAAATGCAACTCTACGAACTGGCTGGCAAAATACAGTGATTAAAGCTGTGGCAGCAACATTTAAACCAACAAAATTAGTGCTTTACGTGGTGTTTTTTTTCCTTAATTCTTCCAGAGGTGCCATAGTCTCTATTTACAGGCTTTAAGCTCCAACAGTAGGACAGAAGAGTTGGGAATTTGCTTTTGAAACAACTCCCAAACAGCCTCATTCTCCACCCTTTCCTCTTCCTTCCTGCCAGGAATGTCTCTTTGCCGCTGGATAGGGAGGGATTTCCCCAAGCTGGAGAGGTCGGCTCAGAATTCCCTCTGTCCCACGCAGGGAAAGGCCTGATTGTGAACTCTCTTGGTACTGATTGGGGACAGGGAAGGGGCAGAGATGCGTTTTTGGGGGGGAAATCCATGCAGACAGCTGTTTCCATGGGCCTGGAAACAATTCCATGACTCCTTCATTTTACAATTCGGAACCCCTTTGGAGCTCGCTGCTGCCTCGCTGGGAAGCAGCTGATGGATGATTTTTATAATGGAATCCTGGAATGGTTTGGGTAGGAAGGGACCTTAAAGCCCATTCAGTCCCACCCACCTTCCACTAGTCCAGGCAGCTCCAAATCCATCCAACCTATCCTGGAACACTTCCAGGGATGGAACATCCAAAACTTCTCTGGGCAACCTGTGCCACTTTAAGACATAAGGTACTATTGACACAAAAAACTTCATCCTGAATCCCTGTCCTCTCCTGATCCAAGGGATTTCTGCCAGCTCCATGTGGGAAGGGCTGCCTTTGGCACTCCAGGAATTGCCACATCCCAGTTAAACCACCCAGGCACCATGTCTGAGGCAGCATTTGGGAATGTATGTGGGAAAACACTGTTCCTTGGGGCTGTTCCATAAGGAAAAAGGCACTAGAGATGTTTCCAGGCACTTGGTTTGTTGGGAATTTCCATAAATCCCATGGCTGAGCATTCTGGGGACACCTGAGAGATCCCAACTCCTCCTGGGCCACCACTGATTGATTCCTTCCCTCAGGAGTGGGGTGGAATGTATTGGGGTGTCTTGGCTGGGGGTGAGGGTGTGATTGCAGGCTCTGTCCCCCCCAACATTCCCTGTTTCCTCTTCCAGGGGCCTTTATCCCAGCTTGGCATCACTCACCTGAGGAGGACGTGCCAGCCTGGGCCACTGATTGCCAAGGGAACAATAAAGCTGCCAAGGAAGCCACTTCCCAGTTTAAAACCAGGAAAAACTGCTCAGGGCAGGTGGAGGGAACTCAGGGCAGGTGGAGGGAAGAGCACTTAGCTACATCCAGGTGTTTCCTTCCCAATTTCAGGGAAAAACAGAGAATCCTGCTGAGCATGGAGCCCCCCTGCTTGTGCATAGGTATTCCCAAGCCTTGGGGCATCCTGATCTCCCACTGAGCTTCCCAAAACTGGGTTTTCCAACTGCTTGGCTGCTCAGAATGCCCTGCTCACCCACTATTCCCTGCTTCCCAGGATTCAGTGGATTTTAGTAACTATAATTCAGTGTTTCCAGGCCTTGAAACCTCCCTACAAACAGTTTCTTGGGGGCAGATGCCAAATCCAAGTGACATCACCAGGAATTTCAGGCTGCTTTGTTGGGATAAGCTCAGGAGGGGGATGATGGGAGATAAAACCAGATGTGTCCAAGAACCATCACTTTACCTGGATAAAACCCATCTTTGTTTTTCTGGAGCAGATTTAGAGTGTCCTTAGGATCAGCATGTGGCATTCTCCTCTCACTTGTTTCCTCAGGGAAATCCATCTTGGAGTAACCTGGAGGTGGCTGAGCCTCCAGGAACGCAGACAGCTCCTCTTTAGCAAGAGGAGCATGATGAGGAGGAGGAAGCACAGGGAGCCACTTGGCTTTCCCACAGGACACACGTGGCTCAACGGGGCCAGAAGGAAATTCCCAATTTTTTTACAGCTTAAACCCCACAAGAATTCAGTAGTTTAGCAAGTTAAGGACTTGTAACAGTAAAATATCCCAAATCCCCGCAGTGTAACTCTGTGAGGGCAGGGACAGCCTGCAGCTGCTGCCATCCCAACTTTTGGGAGAACACCACCCCTCTCCTGAGGCAGAGATCCCGCCTGGACACAGTTCCTGGTGTTCCCAGGGACTGAGCCTTGCTCCGCAGGGCACTCCAGGCTTTGCCAGTGCTGCACATCTGGGCAGAGGTTGGCACTGGCTCCAGAGTTGACCAGGCAGCTCCGCACACACCGCTTCCAAGCGGATAAAAACGGATCCTACCGCACTTAATGTGGGTAAGTCCCGGTCATTCGTCACCCCTGGCTTGAGGACAAATGTCCTCAGGCGTGGCATGGCCTCAGCAGCATCTTGAGTGGGGGTTTTATCCATCCAGATGTGGATATCCCACATGGATATGGGATTTAAGAGCACAAAGAAGAGGGGGGATGACGTCAAAGCTGCTCCTTCTCCAGTTGTTCCTAGAGGAACATGTCCATTGGCAGGTCTGGGAGTCTCTGGGAAGTCTGTGGGAAGTGGCCCTGGGCCAAGCAGAAGGAACAGCAACTCCAGTGTAGAACTTCCAGTAGGTCCAGGCACAGCCACCCTTTCCAGGCCAAACTCCAGCGTTTGGCTCTTGGAAAGGGCTCCAGTGTTGAAACAATTCCAGTGTTGTGAAGAACTGATGTGGGACATCTGGGAGCACCAGGATGGGGCTCCTGTCCATGGAAGGAGCATCCCTCTGAGATGTGGCAGAACTGTCCACGCTCAGTCCGGTGTGTGTTTCCAAATCCAGTGTTGGAAGGGGAAGTGATGGAGGACACAAACATCCCCATAACGGAAGGAGAGGGGTGTGGGATGCTGGGAATTGGTGCAAGGTCCCCCCAGGAGCCACCACAGGGCTGATGGTGGCTTTTAGGTCCTGTCTGTCCTGAGCTTCAGTGTCTCCAGCCATCACCATTCCAGCTCCGGAGCTGCCGCAGGACACAGGGATGAGGCGGGGCTGGGGGCCAGCGGAGCAGGGAATTTGGGAGGCTCCCAGTGGCACCAGTTCCCCTCCTGTCTCTGAGCAGAGGGCACTGGTGCTGCCAGGACTCACTCACAGAGCCAGTAGAACTGGAAGTAATAGTCAGTGAAGAGGTGTCCCAGCTGCTCCAGGGAAGTGCCGCAGTCGGCTCGGCCCTAGGAACGGGAAAAGCAGCTTAGAGAGAGAGGGGGGCAACTCCAAGGGCAGAATTCTGCCTGGATTATGGGCTGGGACAGGGACACATCATCCTCCTACCACCCACAGGACTGTGGGAAGCTCCTGGTGCTAAACCTGCATTTCCCACAATTTATAAATCCCACATTTCTCTCCTTCCACGTGGCCCTGGACAAGCTGCGGGTACTCACTGGCTGTGCCACTCGGAAGTGGTAGGAAAACTCCCGGAAGGACAGCATCACCAGAGGCCAGCGGTGCGTGGTGTCCTGGGGAAGGAAGGGAAAGAGCTGGCATGAGATCAGGGATGAGCTTGGGGGATGTTCTCCAGGCTGGATCTGTGAGGAAATGCACAGCCTTGTCCTGTC